TCTCACCGTTTTCGTTCCTTCCTCCCAGTCGATGTTGTCCCATGACGTCTTCGTATCCAGTGTTGTCCTTTCCAACCTTGGCATTGAAATCTCCCATCAGAATTGTCAGGTCCTTGGTTGGGCACTTCTCGAAGATTGACTGCAGCCTATCGTAGAATTGGTTTTTAGCGTCTTCATCGTAGTCGTTGGTCGGCGCATAGCATTGGATGATGTTCATTGTAATGCCCTCTCTCTTTGTTTTGAAGGAGGCTTTGATGATCTTTGGTCCATGAGATTCCCATCCTATGAGTGCATTTTGTACTTTTCTGGACAGCATCAATGCATCTCCTTGTGTATGTGGGGTGTTTTCTTCTTCATGACCGGAGTATAACAGAAATTCCCCTGAAGACAGTCGTTGTTGTCCAACCTGCGTCCAATGTGTTTCGCTGATTCCAAGCACTTCCAGGTTGTATTTTCTCATTTCTGCAGCAATTTGGAAGACTCTTCCGGTCTCCTACATTGTCCGGACATTCCATGTACCTATAAAAATTGTCGCTCTGGTTGGAAGAAGGTGCATCGGCCTCATGACTTCCGAATGAACTCGGCTTTCATCATGAGACGTCATAATTATTCCTTGTACTCCCAGGGCAGAGTTTGAATGGTTTGAATGATTTTCTCTGGTTAGCGTTTTTTTAGCGAGTTGATTTTCTACAGGATGGGGTCGCTAACCCCATGCCCAACCCTCCTCCTTTACCCGGGCTTGGGACCGGCAGTAGCCCCTGGAGGAGCTACAGGCGGAGTTGGGATTTGGCATGGTGTATATAAACTACGTCTGCTTGAAATATAATTTCATGAAGGTTGGTTATCGAATTCTCGACTGAAGGGGTGGAGCTCAGAGAGAAACTACATGGTAGATGATTAATAAGGACCCAGTAATTGACTAAAGGTTGCTGGTATTATCTGTGTGTGCAATTGATCAATCCAGGATGATATTGTAGTGGTATTGGTCTACACCATACAATCCTCAAAGCTGAACTCAAGACAACTGAGAAAATAGGTATTCGACATTTGACACGGAGAGAAGGCCAAAAATGATGAATATGGAAACATGCATTCGAGAACTGGTCGGATGGCACGGCTCAGCCTTTCATTCGTGTTCATTCTTGTGTAACTTATCTCGTTTATTCATATTAAGTATATTATTCTATCTTCAGCCTGAATATGTTCTCCAGAAGAATGTTACACCATATTAGTGATTCTTACGATAGGACGAGTCAGTGTAGACAACGACGTGACTTCCACGCAAGATCTTATAGATTAGATAGTCATATCATGACAAATCTACGACTTAAGAGTTAGTTTTATTATTAGGGCAATACTAATAACGAAGCAGACCATAATTCTATAAGATCAGTTCACAGAAATCAGAATCCCAATTGATGGTTTTGCCATGTGATTTCACTCAGCGTCTGAACGACATACCACAAGCTATTCTAATATTTGAAATCATGAATTGATTGGAAGTAGACCACCACCGGAAACCTGAAAGCACTGAACAGCTGGTTAGTTCCAGAATGCAACTCACTGGTCGTGTGCGTCCACAAATCTGCACTCGGTAAGCGAATACAGAACCTTCAGTCTGGCGCGCGAACGCCTGAACCCAGGACCACTAGGTCAGCATCCAACTGTGTTAATGTCTAATTTCAGTCGATTCACGACATTCCATACCATCTACAGTGTTCTCTGGTGTGTAACTGCCTCACACCCGACACAGTTAATGTGCACATCTATCAGCTCATGGCTTCAAAGAAACTCAACAACTTCCCCAACCCTTTACTGATACTCCAGTCTTTCCAGTTGTTCTGTTAAATATACGTATTTTAATATGTCAGCCATCCAAGTGTACCTCTGACTACTTTCTGTACATGCATGTAACAGCAGCCTTTGTCTACCTACTTCCCTTATATCATGCGTGGTTAGACGAAATTCCGTTGCCTTATTATTCTAGGAGTCAATGAATCCCCAGACTCAAACGTTTTGTACAGCCTGTGTATCTGTTATTTGCTTGCATGTCATTCAATACAACCATGTCTCAAATATGCATATCCTTAACACAATTAGTACTGAACTTACTACCTATGTTGAATCAGACTGATGTTTCTGCATAACATATGTGAAGTTAGTAGGATGTACATTGTATTTGGGTTTGATCATTATCCAGTCACTAATAGATACTATAAGACGACTGTATTTGCCACCCTTCTAACAATACTATTGTTCTCTGTGGTTCTACTTTTTCGAACCTCAGAGTCTAACACGTGAATTATACGTAAATCACGGATATTCAGTGTTTGACAGTGCTATTATCCGGAACAATTTTGTAATCTCAACCCTCAAACCTAGCTAAACAAGAAGTCAGGAATGAAAACGGTTTGAAGGTAGTCTATTTGTTCAGTAGTATATGATCGAAGCAGGCTAGTTGTTAGTAATGATGAGTAGCACGGTGTACCCAAAAGAGATCTGGTGCTAATGCTTGACCGAGCGCCATCAGCTAGGGTGTATCCAGTACGGCTGACGAGATCAGTAGCAATGCCTAATACCTACAGAGCTGTTTATTTTCAGGGTTGGTTTGTCGCTGTATACAAATACGCAATCAATAACTCTCCAGATATAAATTTAAAGCAACTCACAGTTATTTTTAGGGAACAAAGAATGGAGCATCTATGAACTTATTTCTAAAATTCTGCTAATTTCATTTGAATCTTCGCTCCCAGGATCCGAGAGTCAGTCATTACGCAGTAAGGAAGTGTGGGGTTTGAACGGGAAGTTCAGTCCCAAAGTGATTTGCATTTCTCAAACTTGTGCTGTATTCTTACGCAACAAAAGTACTATTTCTGATCTAAAGAATCTATTCTGGTTCCGCGAAGCGTGCATAGATCTAACAGCAGCTGCTTACAACAGACTCAGCAAGTTAGATCTTAGGTGGGCATGTGTTATGCGCAACACGGATACTGTAGTTTTGCTGAGTAACATCATTGCCCTACTGACAGGTCTGAGAAACAAGTTGTCTGAAAATTTGGTAAATGACAGTCACAAAACGGGTAGAAAAACAGGGACGCGCGGTGTAAATAAGAAGAGGGATATTGACAGGTCTACTATCGATGGTGCAAGTGAAAGCACTAGAGATAACATGCTGAAACTCAGCACCATCTTAACGTCGACGGTAATTGACTCCCTCAGTAAACATGGGTCTCCCACTGCAGAGTCCTTGAATGAAACAGTGGTTCCCAAAAACTCTGTAGGTGGTTGGACCCACGTTAACAGGGTCATCTCGACCGACCCACACCAACTACAGTGATGAAAGCTTCATCTGCAACTGAGCAGGATTTTCTGAAGTGGACCTGAGCGCTGACCTGATGTTCCGTAAACTGCGGTACATAAGAAAAGACACTTCTTCCGGTCCGGATATGGTTCATTCTGCTATACTGAGGGAAACAGCTTCAATCCTGGAAACACCGCTTGGCGTGATGTTTTCGCACTCGCTAAGCCGAGGCCAACTACTGGAATTTTGGAAGCTGACTCACGTCACACCAATTTTCAGAGGAGGTCGACGCAGCGAACCCTCAAGCAAGCGAACGGTGGCCCTTCTCTCTATACCTTCTAAAATTATGGGGTTCCTGATATGTGATGGTATACATGACTACTTATTATACTTAGAGTTCCTCTCACCCCAACAGCATGGTTTCAGGGAAAGTCACTCCTTTATAACCAACCTGCTGACCTGATGGACAAGCATCCTTAATCGTAAGGGGAAGGTTGACGTCATTTACCTTGATTTCCCAAAAAGCTTTTGATAGGGTCAACCATATGTCTTATAAATAAGCTTAGATTATTGAGTATCAAACCACCTTTAATTGACTGGCTCGCTTCATATCTAAAAACCTGACATTTTATGTCCAGGATTAACTTCACTTTCTCTCAGGCTATGGAATGTCCTAGTGGGGTTCCTGAGGGCTCATTACTAGGACTTCTTCTTTTCTTGATTTATATAAACGATTTTCCACAACAAGTATTGTTTGGCGTATTGCTTTTTGCTGATGATGTGAGACCTTGTAGAGAGATACACAACCAAGAGGATATACTGACACTTCAAGAGGGTCTGACTGGACTTCAAAGTTGAGCAGACGACAACAGACTTACCTTCAACACTTCAACGTGTAAAGAAGTCCATCGGCGACATGTCGCAGACTATAGTTACAACTTGGGAAACTACTCTCTAGAAGTTTCCCAAGTCGAAAAAGATTTAGGAGTGCTGGTACCCTGCGACCTGAAGTCGTATACTAACTGTGACAAAAACGCCTTACAAGCAAACATTGCACTAGTAACATTGAAGCGCATTTTCGGCTAGTTTGACGGTAGAACTTTCCACATAGTCTTCAACAGTTCTATTCGTCCGTATTTAGATTCCGGAAACATAGTATTTCCTCCCCCTCTCTAAAAGGATAAGGACACTCTGGAACCTATCCAACGTCGAACCACGAAATCAGTTCAGGGACTCAAATTCAAATTTTATGAAGAGCGCCTCCAATCACTTAATCTTTTCCCGTTAGAGCATAGGAGTCTTAGAGGTGACCTTCTTATGACTTATAGTATCCTTTACACTTCTGATCACACCCTTAAACATCGACTTAAGCTTAGTCACGATACTAGCTTAAGGGGTAACACCCAGAAACTGGAGACCCTACATAGCAGAACGGACTGTAGTCACAACTTCTACTCCTTAAGAGTTGTCAGATGCTAGAATTCGCTGCTGATCGAGCTAGTCCAAGCGACTTCTCAGGAGTCCTCTAAGAGGAAACTTGACCTATTCTTAAGGACTAAGGATAACATATTTTTATGATTTACCAATTTCTTTTTTTCCCATTATCGTTAATATACCTAGGTTCCTGCTTGAAAGTATTGGTGATCCACTGCTACTAGACACGGAAGCCCGTTAAGCTAAAGCTTCTTTTATTCTGTCCACAACCACTTGACCAATTAGATGATCAATGATGATTTAAAGATGGGGTCTTGTCAGAGGGAAGTTAAAAATGTCTAAGTTATCAGTTCCTGTGCGTGGGTTTGATTGGTCACATATTATTAAAGTCACCAGATTACTCTTTTATTATCATTTGTATGCCTAAGATAACCCGGTAATCTTTACATTCAAAAAATATGACGAATGATGTATCAAACAAGGATATATGTGACAAGGCTAGTTCATAGTCGATTGCGGACGTCCTTAGATAGAAAATTAAGCTTACCAAATTCAAATAAACAAAGTTTGCCAACTAGTTGTTTTTCTGTGGAGACTCATTAAACTACGGTTAGACGCAGACCTAGTTTGGAGTGTATCTAGCCGAAAAGTAGACAACTAAGCGAAATTTAAAACAGCGACGTAAAGGGAAAAATCCTCATTATTCCCCTCTGACAGGCGAAAAAGCAGATATTTAGGCGCGTTTCTCCATCATTTTCCAGAGTATTTTCACCTTTGTGCGCCTTTATTTTCCCTTTATTGGTTGCTTGCAAAGTTAACCATTAGTTGCTCATTCTTCGCTATAGTTATCAACTTTTCGATGATATCACCCTCAAATGACATCGTGCACAGTACAAACTATGCTGTTCAAAGTCTGACATATTTGTCATGTAAGTGTTGATTGTAAACCTGAAACCCATTTTAATATATTCGAAAGCAGTTTCATACATTTTGTAGTAAAATAACTGCCCAGTCTCCCGATTCTGAGGGTATTTGGGGAAAGCGGTATTAGGAGTTTTTGGGGGAATGCGACGGAAACCTTAATTTCCCCCAGCTTTGGATTTTGCCCTATGATTAAAGGTGTTTTGGGGAAGTCCCCGAGACTAGGGGAACTTAGGGTTTTCACCAATATCAGAAGTATGTTTCTGACGTTCAGTTCGTCTTTTTCCGATAATTAGTCTGTGCGTGATTTACAACACAAGACTTCATATTCCAAAATGCCTGCCACTAAAATCACCATTCATTATAATTTTCCCACTTATATGCTGTTGGATTCCAGGTTTGCGTACATCATCAATCTTAATGCTGACTAGGACTAATGGCTGAGACTAGTTCTTGCATCATGTTAGAATGAGGTTCAGAAAGTGGTACATAGCGAGATAGCTGAAGAAATTTGATACACTTGATTGTTCAATTTACCAATCTTCATTTATTGGTAATGTCCTATTTTGTGATCCATTCTTCTTGAACTCCAAGTGCTCTGGTACGGCCGAGATTCAGCTCTCACTCGGCCGTGCGTATACATCCACTGACAGAGAAGTCCTACTCACTGCCTTCTCGCGGCATCACTTGTTTACGAAATTGAGAGGACGAAAAGCGAATGTCCGGCGCTTTAACCGGGTTGGTGGACACAGGATCCACGTAGGGGAGTTGGCAAACCCTGACTCCGAACCAGTGGTGTACATGGACTCCAGTATCCTGAGGAAACAAATGGCGCATGAACCAATTGTTGGTCACCAGCTTCCATAGTACTGCATCTCCTTATGTTGCTACTCTTCCTTGTGGGTCAGACATTAAAGTCGAAGGCTTTGGGCGTGGCCCCATTAGGAAAACCGCCTGCTTCGGTCTGGGCACCCGGGCGGTATCACAGCCCTCACACAAATCGAATGATTTATGTGGCGCATATCTATTTGGTGCCTTCTTGTACCTATGTTTATATGTTTAAATAATAGTAATAACCCCTTGTTATACCGAAAGCTTTGTGCTACAGTCAAAATAATGGAGATTCGTAGCTCGGGCGGATAATTTTGATGTACTATACTAAAAAAGTAGTCACTTAAATATGCTTATCGCGCGAATTTTTTAACTAGTCGATTTAAACTGTTGTATGATCATCTAATTTTTAAATTCTGTGTAGTTTTCAGTCTCTTATTCTATATTGTGAAGTCCATTCATAGTACAGTCTCATCCTTCAGCTGCGTGAACAATTTTGGGTCATCCATTTGAAGGTTCAGTTCCTGGTTCAATACAGCATGCCTCAATAGATTACATTAAACTTTATCGTTAGATCAGACAAGATGTTACGTAGTTTCTCGCGGTTTGGATCTGATAGATGTACTCGTTTTCTCTACACGTCTTGTTATGTCAATACACCTAAAATTCAACCAAGCAAATCCTCACAGTTACTGAATTCATATTTTGAACTTGGACGATTCGCTAGACCAACAGGCACGTGGCTGTTATACCTTCCTTGTACGTGGAGCATTGCTCTAGCTGCACCACCGGGTCACTTACCAGATATCTATATGCTAACCCTATTCGGCGTAGGCTCCATTTTGATGCGAAGTGCGGGTTGCACAATAAATGATATGTGGGATAAAAAATATGACATGCTTGTCAAACGCACAAAGGATCGTCCACTAGCTTCAGGTTCATTAAACCTTCCTCAGGCGTTATTGTTTCTTGCTGTTCAGCTAGCGACTTCGCTTGTAATATTATTGCAATTGAACTGGTACAGGTTGGTTTGAATTGCTTTTTAGTTATTTCTTGAAGTGTATTTCTTGGTATCCTGTCATTGATTCCTGTCATCACGTATCCTTTGTTCAAACGTGTTACCTACTGGCCGCAGCTTGTACTTGGTAAGTATCAGTGTAGCATTTTCTAACCTAGGTTCATTGCTATGTGGTTTTACAGGCTTTACATTGAACTGGGGTGTTTGGCTTGGGTATTCTGCTATAAATGGTTTTTGCCTTTTCTCCGTGTGCACTCCCTTGTATTTAGCTGCAGTGTTTTGGACATGCACGTACGATACCATATATTCTCATCAAGTGAGGATGTTTTGCATATGTCTTCAATCTTTTTCGCGCTAATATTTCCTGCATTTTACGAATATTCATGTGGTGTTGACTCATAGTTTTGCGATTCTGCATACTTAGTTTTGTGTTTTGACTTGCCGCCCAGTAAACCGGTAGCACCTTTTTGTTTTTATGTGAAATTTAAAGACTAGGTTTGTTTGTTCTGTGTAGGTCTTACATTCAACTGGGGTGCTTTGCTGGGCTATTCTGCTGTCACAGGTTCTGTTAACCCTCTGATTTCAATACCTCTCTATTTTGGTGGCTTCAATTGGACAATTATATACGACACAATTTATGCACATCAGGTTTGTGCTCATAGCTTGCTTTGAAGTTTGCCATTTTATGTTGAATCTATAACGAGGGTTTCTGTTCTAGGATATCGATGATGACATCCGTATAGGCGTAAAATCAACAGCAATTTTGTTTGGAGAAAAAACAAAGTTATATTTGGGCGCTTTTCATATGGGAATGACAGCGTGTCTCCTCACTGTTGGAATTAACGCAAATGCTGGTTGTGTATATTACCTCGGGACCTTCCTTACCATGTTTCATGTTGCTCATTTAGTAAGTTGCTGTTTTCACCTTTATATTTAGATTTCCCTTAGTACTTAATGGTAGTGTGTAGTGTAGAAGCTTGGATATTTGGTTCACAGCCTGTAAATCAGTAATTTCAACTCACTGGTCATTCCTGACGTTCACAATCCATGTAACGTTTCTCTATGCATCCAGTACATTATTGTGTGCTTGGATGATAAGATTTTTGCCAATGTGTGGCTTATTAGCTTAGATGTCTGATATCAAATTATCAAGTGACAGGTTTAAACATCCTTTCCCGTGTTGACTTAGACATTAAGCTAGTACCATTTCCCTCCAAAATTGGTACAACCATGCTACCGATTTTTGATTTGAACTAGTTTCATTTTTCGGTTTTTACTTGGAACTGTGGTTCAGCCAGTTAAAGATCAGTTAAGCAGCTGTAAAGTAGTCTGATTTACATACTCTTTGAAGCCTACCTAATGCACTCCTATATTTGTCAGACGCTTAAGTGTAACTAATCACCTGAAAAAGAAACTGAATTAGTGAGAATCTTATCGACCTGGGAGCCCAAAGGACAACTTAAGGTCAATCACGTAGCATTTTTATGGAGAGTTTTTCACGCTAGCTCAGTACTTGGAAGGGTCTTATCGTTAAAGACGGAAATCTATTAGATAAATTAAAGTGTGACACTTTGAGGATCAACCTTTTCTGACCCCTTTCCGTTGTGATAAGGTACCATCACTGTAGTTGCTGGTTATTTGAGGGAAACAATTTACTACTGTCACACCTCAGTGCAATCAGCCGTATGACTTCTCCCTCGAATCTTAATACGCTGCTTTTAGTTTTACCACTATCCAACCGACCTTCTTGGAATGTTAAGACCTAAACGAACAAGTGTTCCAACCAATATGGCTTGACTGGATTAATACGATGTCCAAGCTTGGCTATCACATCACGGTAATTTATCAAGTACCTGTTTTTGTACTCATCTTCGAGACACATTGTATTATATGGACCAATGACGTCATCCAGATACCTAAATAAAAGTAGATAAAACGGAGAACAGAACCCGTGACTTAATCATTGAAAATATAAATTCAATGCACCATACATTGAATTCTACCAGTAGAAATTATATATGAATCGTTATTGTTTTCAAATCCCTAATCTTTTCGGTCAAATGTCCCACATATTCCAAATTCGAGATAATTTCTAATCGAAGTGAGGAATAGAGCTGATAATAACCATAAAAATAAGTATCTTATAAACATCCCAGTGATGCTAAATGTAGGTTGTACTGTGATAGTTTGTTACTCTTTTTTTCCATCACAAATAGACAGTCATTTATAAGTTATACGTAACGTTGAACCTGGCATATATATGCACTTTTTCAAGTTTGCACTCCTATATTAACATTATGAGATGAATTTGTCAAAGGAAATCCTAGAGTAGTAGAGATGGTAATAATATTAGTGTTGATAGAAATGTTAAGTATAAAATGTGATGTGAAAAGAAAATATAGATTGGTGGAATGAAAAAACCTGGAATCTAAGATAAAACAAAGAGTGATTGGGCCTGTGTCATTGTCGGTGATTCTAAACAATATCACTCAAGGTCTCTAGCAACCGATTATGATTGCCTTATGGATTCCACACAAATAGTTTGAACCTATATGCACGCTCCTGCTCAACAGTCAGTGTCTTCATGGACTAATTCCACGTCTTGATTTGGCCTCTCCTAACGTTCTTTAGACCTGTCACACCAGCCATCATCGTGAGTCAAGGTGGACAATGGAAAGCTTCATTGTAGTTCAAGAAATTCTTCATATTTGATTACTATGAAACCTGAAGATATCTTATTTTCAACAAATATCTGATATCTTAGAATGCTAAAGAATCCCGAAAAATTATCTGATTTCAATTTGTATCGTTAAACCACTAAATAATTGCTGTAGTTGAGCTGACAAAGTTCCTAACCGTCATTTTGTAATGAGGTACAGTTATGTTGCTATATCAAACCAGTCTTTTATTATCTGAATACCGATTCTGGTGGTCTTTTTTTCGTTTACAACAAGTACTCTACGTCAGATGAATATTTTCGTACTCTATTCACCTCTGTGTAAGTATTTCATCGATAACTAAGTATTTATTAGACTACAGTGTACTCGGATGTTCCTACAAATTTGCTTCGAAATGTCAAGATATTATGTGGTCAATAAACGGATTCTGTCAACCTTTTCACAGTCGCTCTTGATTCTTTCCCGAGTTTTTCTCTTGCTTCGGTTTGGGCACCCGGGCAGTATCACAGCCCACACACAAATGACATAAAATGACGCACTACACTAACTACACTGCTCTCGTTCCTAATAGAAGAAAGACAATTTACATTATTATTATTATTATCACCATTATTATTATTGTTATTATTATTATTACTTACCATATCGCTAACTCACCCCCTTTTATCCCCAATTTGTGTTACCTTACTTTTCAACGTATGCAGCAGCTCGCCCATGGTGGAAAATATGTCCTATCTAAACGATCTCCAGTCACTGTCTGGTTGAAAGTGAATGCTTCCACCGATTATGAATACTGAAGCAGTCTTTCTGAAACCACGTACGCCGTTCAAGCTGGCTTCCTTCAACGTTCGCACACTAATGCATATCAGACAACAGATAGGGCTGGCTATGTCTCTGGAAGGTCTTAATGTTGATGTTTGTTGTCTATCCGAGACTCGTATTCAAGACTCTAGTGAAGTACTACAAATCCGCTCTCCATCTGTCGCTTCGAAAAGCTTGTTTCACGTGCGCTTATCAGGGGACCCTGTGGCATCTTCGTCTGGTCTTGCTGGCGTTGGTTTTGCACTAAGCGCTAGGGCTGAGGCAGCACTAATCGATTGGATCCCCATTAACAGTCGGTTATGTGCTGTTAGATTAGAAAGTTCCATCAAAGTGAGAAGAAATCGGCGTGAGAGACGGTGTCTTTTCGTCATCTCCGCCTATGCCCCGACAGATTGCAGCCCGGATGCAATCAAGGATGAGTTCTACCATCAGTTAACAGTTCTTCTCCAGAAAGCTCGTTCGACAGATATTGTAGTACTAGCCGGAGACTTGAATGCACAGGTCGGGCGTCTAGGCACAGAAGAGAGTCGTTTAGGTGGCCGATGGGGACTTGTTGGTCGCAGGACAGATAACGGGGACCGTTTGCTGCAACTGTGCACAGACCACAACCTGCTTCTGGCCAGCACTAACTTCCGGCACAGTCATCGCCGGTGTGCCACCTGGCGTCCTTCCTCTGCATCCCAAGCCTGGACTCAGATTGATCACATCGCGATCAGCTACCGCTGGCGTGGTTGTGTACAAGGCTGCCTCTCCTTTTGGAGTACCTATCTGGAGTCTGATCATGCCCTGGTCTGCGCCAATCTCACCTTACTTTTCAGTGGCCGAAGGATTGACCACCACTAACGGATCGATGTTAGTAAACTGGCTGCAACTTCTGTTGCAAGTAAGTATCGAGCGGAGCTAGCTTCTAGGCTAGCTACCACCCCACCGAAAAGTATAGATGAGCATTGGTTGCTTCTTCACGACGCCATAAAAATGGCGAGTAAAGCCGCTTGCGGCTTCGCGAAACGTCCCGCTTACAAGCACTGGGTTTCTTCTGGCTCCTTACAACTGATGGAAGCCCGTCTGTCTACTCTGGGTGACCGTGAGTATGACCACAAACGAAGGCTGCTACGTAGTGAAATCGCGCAAAGCTTGCGTAAGGACAGAGAAGCCTGGTGGTCGGAGCGTGCTAATGAGATGGAAGCAGCAGCTGCACCTGGTAACTGCCGGAAGCTCTTCCAACTCATCCGAGTCACTGGCAGCAAGAAGTCTGGTGTGAGTGAAACAATCTACGAGGATGACGGGATGCCAATCACTAACATCTCTCGACATCTTCGACAATGGGCGGAATTCTTCGAACGGGGGCAGTTCAACTGGCCTGCTGCTCCGGCAACATCAACCAGTTTGTCCTGCCCCCCATGGCCGGTGACGACTGATCCACCAAACGAGGCGGAAGTCCGCAAGGAACTCCGACTCTTGAAGCGCTACAAATCATCGGGCCCAGATGACTTACCTCCGGCTGTTTTAAAGAATGTGGTGACTTTCTGGTTAAGGAACTGACGGTGTTGTTTGCAAAGGTTTGTGAACAAGAAAGTGTTCCAACATCATGGAATGAGTCGATAATCGTCCCTATCTTTATAAAGGGTTCACGTTGTTCCTGCAATAACTATCGGGGGATAAGTCTACTTTCGATTGCGTCCAAACTATTGGCTTCTATCATTCTTCGTAGGTTGTTTAAAACCCGAGAACGATTGACTCGCGAGGAGCAGGCTGGTTTTCGTTCTGGTCGAGGATGTATTGATCACATCCTCACCCTCCGCCAAATGTTAGAACACCGTCATACTTATCGCAGGCCTACGATCGTAGTGTTTCTTGATATCAGGACGGCCTTCGATTCGTTGGACAGGACTGTTCTCTGGGATTGTCTGTTAAAGAAGGGTATGCCTGAGTAGTTTATTAACATTTTGAAGGCCCTATATACTACAAACACCTCAGACAGAGTGAGGGAATACAAACACCTCTCTCAATTGTTCCATTCAAGCAGTGGAGTTAGATAGGGTTGTTCAATCTCAACATTCCTCCTCAACTTTGCTATCAATGACGTTCTGGAAACAGCTCTGATGGATGTAGGTGATGACGTTGTGGATCTGTTACTTGCAGAAAGACTTCCCAACCTTGAGTATGTGGATGATATTATCTTACTGTACTATGATACCAAGGCCATGCAATCCGCACTTAATCAGTTGGCAATCAGTGTCCGCAGGTACGGCATGTGCTTTGCACCCTCCAAGTGCAAAGTACTCCTACAAGACTGACAGGATTTTCATCCTGTACTCACCCTAGATGGTGAGCAGATTGAAGTAGTTGAGGAGTTCGTGTATCTAGGTAGCTATATAAGTGCTGGTGGTGGCGCGAGTGATGAGATCAATCCGCGTATAGTGAAAGCCAGAGCGGCTTATGCCAATCTGGGCCATCTTTGGCGACTTCGTGATGTTAGTCTGGCTGTAAAAGGTCGGATCTACAACGCGTCGGTGAGAGCAGTTTTGCTCTATGATTGTGAAACCTGGCCTCTCCGAGTTGAGGATGTTAGACGACTCTCTGTGTTCGATCATCGTTGTCTCCGAAGGATTGCTGACATCCAGTGGGAACACCATGTTAGTAATCCAGAGGTTCGGCATCGTGTGTTCGGGTGCAGAGACGATAATTCAATTGGTGTCACCATCTTGAAACACCGACTTCGGTGGCTTGGACATGTTTTACGAATGTCGTCCCAGAGACTTCCACGTCGTGCATTATTTGTCGACTCTGGGACTGGTTGGAAAAAGCGGAGAGGAGGTCAGTGTATGACATGGTGTTGTGGCATGAAAGAAAGCTGCAAAGGGCTAGCTTCTGTTGGTCCTTCACGACTCCCTAGCTGGGGTCCGAGAGATCGTGCAACACAGTGGTTAGAGACGTTATCAGATATGGCTCAGAATAGCAGCCAGTGGCGAACCTGCTGTAACCTTTTAATTTCTACATAAAGAGTGGTTCTATCTTTCTCAGTCCGCCTTATCTTTTCATCCCTTTTCTTCCTACTTTCATTATTTTGTGTGGCGCATATGTATCTGGTGCCCTTTTGTACCAATATGTGTTTAAATAAATAATATCTTGTGGAACTATAAGAACTCAACCGCTTGTTTTCTAAGTAGGGATGAACGTAGAGCATGTTCGAATCTTTAACAAATAATTCATTAAGCTTTAAGAATCTACAATAATGTCGTTTGATTTCTCTACTAGTCAGTGGTTTATTTCTTAAGTAAGCACACAGAGATATTCTAATCGAGTTCACTATCTATTGTGTTATGACATCCAAGTTGAGATACTTGTTTTTCGTATTTTGGGGAGTAAATGTTTTGTAGAATATGTGCTGTAGTCACTAATTCTTTAAAAAAAAATCTCAGCTATTAAATCATACTACAGAATCAATAATAGTCAAAATAATAATTACCTACTCAGCTCTCAAACTCCGCCTGTAGCTCTTCTAGAGTTACTGCCGGTCCCAAGCCCGGGTAAAGGAGGAGGGTTGGGCATGGGGTTAGCGACCCCATCCCGTAGAAAAGCTAACTCGCTAAAAAAACGCTAACCAGAAAAAATAATTCAAACCATTTAAACTCTTCCCTGGGAGTTGAAGGAATAATTATGACGTCTCATGATGAAAGCCGAAATTCTTCGGAAGTCACGAGACCGATGCACCTTCTAACAAAGTTGGGGTGGACAACACAGGATATGAAGATGTAATTGGACGACATGGATTAGGAGAGAGAAATGAAAATGGGGAGAGACTTGCAAACCTATGTGCATTCAACAAATTGGTTATAGGCGGCACAATATTCCCACACAAACGTATACACAAAGCTACATGGATCTCACCGGACCACACCACAGAGAACCAGATTGATCACATCTGTATCAACAAAAAATTCCGAAGATCAATGGAAGATGTGAGAGCCCGGAGAGGAGCTGACATAGCTTCAGATCACCACCTTGTTGTGGCCAAGATGAGACTGAAGCTAAAGAAACACTGGACAACTGGACAAACAGCACTACAAAGGTTCAATACAGCCCTCCTTCGAGATACTGACAAGCTCCATGAATTCAAGATAACTCTCAACAACAGGTTCCAAGCTCTACAGGATCTACTGAAAGAACAAGAAACTACTTTGGAGGACAACTGAAAAGGGATAAAAGAAGCACTAACTTCAACGTGTCAGCAGGTTCTTGGTCCTAAGAAGCATCATCACAAGGAATGGATCGCTATGGGAACCCTGGACAAAATTCAAGAAAGGAAGAACAAGAAACTAGCAATTAACAACAGCCGAACACGAGCAGAGAAAGTCAGCACAAGCAGACTACGCAGAAGCAAACAGAGAAGTGAAGAAAAGCATTAAAGCCGACAAGCAGAAATATATGGGAGAACTAGCAACGGCGGCGGAAAAAGCTGCAAGAGAAGGGAATATGAAACAAGTATATGACACAACGAAGAAATTGGCAGGGAGATATAGCAAACCAGAGAGACCAGTCAAGGACAAAGAGAGGAAGACAATCACAGAAATTCAAGAACAGAGGAAAAGATGGGCAGAATACTTCGAGGAACTGCTGAATAGACCAGCCCCATTGAATCCACCGAACATCGAAGCAGCCCACACTGACCTTCCAATAGATATCACTCCACCAACGATCGAAGAAGTCAAGATGGCCATCAGACAAATCAAAAGTGGGAAGGCTGCAGGACCTGACAATATACCAGCAGAAGCACTGAAGTCAGACATTGAAATAACTGCAAACATGCTTCACCTTCTATTCAAGAAGATTTGGGAAGAGGAACAAGTGCCAACGGACTGGAAAGAAGGATATCTCATCAAGATACCAAAGAAAGGAGATCTGAGCAAATGTGAGAACTACAGAGGTATCAGTTTGTTATCAGTACCAGGAAAAGTTTTCAACAGAGTGCTGCTGAATCGGATGAAAGACGCAGTAGACGCTGAACTTAGGGATCATCAGGCTGGATTCCGTAAGGATCGGTCGTGCACAGACCAGATTGCGGCACTACGGATCATCGTTGAACAATCAGTTGAGTGGAACTCATCACTATACGTCAACTTCATTGACTATGAGAAGGTGTTTGACAGCGTGGACAGGAGAACATTATGGAAACTTCTTCGACACTATGGAGTTCCTCAGAAGATCGTCAACATTATCCAAAACTCATACGATGGACTACAGTGCAAAGTGGTGCATGGAGGACAGCTGACAGATGCATTTCCAGTAAGGACCGGAGTCAGACAAGGCTGTCTACTCTCCCCATTCCTCTTCCTTCTAGTGATTGACTGGATTATGAAGAATTCGACATCTGAAGGGAAATACGGAATACAATGGACTTCTCAGAATCAATTAGATGATTTGGACTTCGCAGATGACCTAGCCCTCCTCTCTCATACACACGAACAAATGCAGATGAAGACCGCAAATGTAGCAGCAGCAGGAACTCAAAACAACTCTCAACCAATTTCAAGGTCAGAATCTTTAATACGAACGTCAAGACAGTCCTACTGTACGGAGCTGAAACGTGGAGAACTACTACGACCATCATCAGGAAGGTACAAGTATTTATAAACAATTGTCTACGCAAAATACTCAACATCCACTGGCCGGATACTATCAGCAACAGCGTTTTATGGGAGAGGACAAATCAGCTTCCAGCTGAAGAGGAAATTAGGAAAAGACGTTGGAAGTGGATCGGACATACATTGAGGAAATCACCAATGTGCATCACGACTCAATCCCTAACTTGGAATCCGGAAGGGAAGCGGAAAAGAGGAAGGCCAAAGAACACACTACGCCGGGAAATAGATGAATAGCAACTGGAAAGAAAGGCTCAGGACAGAGTTGGATGGAGAATGCTGGTGAGCGGCCTATGCTCCTCCACAAGGGGTAACAGGCGTAAGTAACTCAGCTCTCAATGCTTCTAATTTCACGAGGGTAAGGTGTTTCGAAATGTCATGGTGTTTGTCGTTTAAAAACGGTCATCAAATAAAAACACCCAAGCTTCATGTTTCGGGCTCCTTTTAACCCTCCAAACGAGTAGTCACATGCACTTCTGTTGTATTGTTTTGGCATTATTATACATGATGGGATTTCAAAGGTTTATGAACATGTAACCTTCCATAATTTTAATCAAGGGAGCACGGTGCTGATTTTTTTACTAGTTCATAATCATGATCTGCTGGGCTAGAAATTGTTAAAATTTCAAGCCGCGGATTTAGCTCATACTCAGGTTACTTTAGTAGGAAAACAAAGTGCATTTAAAGTTGGTTTACCTAATTTTCTGTTAAGTCTTTCAGTTTTCGGTTGCTCTTCAAACAAGGAGTAGCATTGAGGCTTTATCCTAGTGTCTGTCTGGTTATCCAGTATGCCATTATACAAATAATATCTAACTGTAACAAAGTTGGATCTAAAACTACGTTTGTATAGTTAGTACAATAATTTTCAAACCATTATAACTTTTATATAGTTGAGATCATGAGTCAATTAAAGCTAGACCACAATGGAAAACCTAGAAGCACTGGATGGCCGTTTCGTCCTATCGTGGAACTCCTCAGTAGTGCGCATCCACGATATCGCGAGATTCGAACCCATTATAATTCTTAGTAATTGAGAACTGACACATCACGTTTTTTCTAACTTTTAATTCACTTTTCGGTATAATCCTTATTCTATTCTCGAAAATTCATCCAATACTTCACTATCTAAATAGTTTTATTAGATGATTCATCTGGTCGCAGTTATTGATATACTTTACTTATGTATTTATTTTACTTAAATTGAAATTTATGATTTTCAGATACAGAAAACGGACCTAAAGAATCCAAAATCTTGTTGGCAAACCTTTAAAGATAGTAAAATAACTGGTCTTTTGTATTTTCTTACCATTGTACTGGATAAAATATCACTATAAGTTTATTGTTCTTACTAATAAAATTGGCTTGTAATAAACGTTTTATAAGTATCGGACACAAACATATGGTATTTATGATAATTGGGTCTACTCTCTTTACAAAGAATTTTTTAAACAGGAATAAGAGTGTTTATTGTAAATTTCGATACACCATCGACTGGCAAATGTATTCCGTTACAAATGGCTTAAAATCTAACTGTCATGCTATCCAAACGAGAAATCATTACCGTTCTAACTCAAGCAAAGATCTTGCGATTGATTTCAATTTACTCATTAAATTAGTCAGTTATGATGAAATAGGATAAACGATTATGAAGACAGTCTTTTAAAGTTAATCATATTTCTTGTTTATACAAACAAAATAATAAAGAAATAAATATAACTGGATAAATGTTTTATGCTAAACAGGTGTTATTTGGAGTTTTTGTAACACGAAACAAAGTTTCGAGTTTAACCGTCAGCAAAATTATATGAACAATATCATTATTAAGTGGAACATGAATCATTCTTTTGACCGATCTTTCAAACGTACCTAAATATATACGAACAGTTTATCTTACCAGGACTTATTGTCTATTCAGTTAAATTATATGGTTGGAAACTTAATACAGCTTGAGTGCGGAATCAAATAATTCTCTACTTACATCGTTTTGTAGAGCCACTTAGTGTAACCAAAAGTTCATTGGTTTTTTCACGTTTTACAGAATGGTATCCTCCATCCATTATAAGTGGTAAAATAATAGTCCTGCACGGTATTGACAAACTTCGCACAGTTGTGTGGACTGGTACACATTTACACTACACCACTTTAAATTACCAATCAGTAATCTCAAATAAAATGAAAAGTCCCCTGCAGACGTAGTCTAACTACACGAGCTTTCGAATCTCGACTACGAGGCCACTCGTTTTGTATGTTCATCCCTTAAAAATAGAGGGTTGATTTCACAACCTGGTATGAAGTACTAACCTTTATAAGTGTGTCGATCATTAACCATCATCAAAACCTTAGAAAAGGAAACGAATAAATAAGTAGGGATTATATCACTCTAAGCTCCTTGCACTTATTGTAAAAACAAAACATGCAAGCGAACTGTTGTTCTAATTTTCACAATGGGAATCTTTAATACTTATTGTAAGGTAAATCAATGATATACTGAATGAGAGGCATTTGAGAAATAATTTTGAAAAAATACTAGCAGACGATAAACCGCAGATATTTATGAATGAATGCTTATATGTACAGTTTTAACAGAGATTAACAATTTATTTGCCCAAATGTACATAAGTTTCCAGGTCAGGAACGGCTGCCATAGTTTGTTCTACATGACCTATACACTCCAAACAAATGAGCTCAGGATTGTCCTGATTCACAAGTACAACATCCTGTTGGTGAGAAAAAGAGAAAAAAACGAACATGCTTTTACGTAGGGGACGGAGATACTTTGAATGGGTTAATTTGATGACGTACTACAAAGAAGAAAATACATGTATTATCAACATTCCATATAATGGTTCCGTCGAAATATTTATGTTAGGAAAATGACCAAACAAATACATATTTTGACAGTTAGTTAGTTCTACATCTTGTGTGAATAAACTTAAGATTTAGGAGCTTCACTTTCTAATACAAACATCAGAGATTTGGTAAACGGACGCAGATGCTAAACATAGTTACATTTGTCAACGATTATTATGATTGAAGATACCGCCATTGAGCTAAACAAATATCATTTCGAGGACAACGCAAAATGAGTGGCATTGACGTTTTACACTGAAAATAAAGATTTACTAGGGACTAGTTGGCTACATTATTTATGCGCTTTTACATAACAATTTGTGAACCAAATTAGCGGCCTACATAAAACAACTGTTGCATAGACAGCCGCCAATAATGGAAAAAACTAAAATAAATTGGCTTCTCAAATAATAAATTAGTTCGTTGTGAGACATTCAGGTTTCATTCAACCCTCAATAGTAAGGCATATAGTTCAATGACTGAAATTCTCAAATTTAACACTGTTGTAGATGTTGGGAAAGCAGTGAATACCTCAAGGCTTTAATTATCTTTGTAAAACTGAAAACCGTTATATTTATTAAACTACTTTTGTAGCTTATAGTGTCCATTTAACGCCTCAAAACAAAGTAATCCCTAACAGTTTCTAGTGTTAATTTCCTTAATTTATAGCTACCGAGCAAATATGTTAACTGATTAAATATGCTTTATTTCGAAATTGATGTGATTTTGACAACGTATAGTTGATCCTCATTAAAATACCACTGATAAAGAGATTGAAAATTTTATTTCGAAATTAATCCAAATATTTGGAATTAAGCTTACAAGACAATAAAATAAACCGAATTAGCGACACAGAGGAACAATCAGATATCGGACAAGCGATTACCTCAGGCGACTGACCGAGATTTGAATTTCTTTTCTAAGGAATGAAGCTAAACCTATCGGTGGAAAAACACGTCTCAAATTTTTAACGGACAAATATATGTACGTAAAAGAACGTACAATTATTTCGACATTCGATTGATTTATTTGTTTAGTTGAACATATATATATTGGTAAAAGAGGACACCAAATACATAAGCGCAAAACGATCACAATGTTAAGTGTGTATGAGAAAAAGGAGAACAACAACGAATAAAAATAAGTGTATGATAGTGAAATAATAATAACGGGAGGCAGTTCAGTTAGCAAAAATTAAACCAGAAAGGATTCTTTCATTTATAGAAGTTACGTTCATTTTTACGAAGTAAAGGAAAATTACCTCAGGATCATCACTGGTTTCTATCCTGAGCCATGTCTGGTAACGTCTCTAGCCACTGTGTTGCATCATCTCTAGGACCACAATCAAGGAGTTGTGAAGAGCTAACACAAGCCAGTCCTGTACAGCTTTTTTCCATACCACGACACCATGTCATACACTGACCACCTTCCCGCTTTTTCTAACCGGTCCCAGCGTCGGCAAGTAATGCACGACGTGACATTCTCTGGGACGACACTCGTAGGACATGTCCAAGCCATCGAAGTCGATGTTTAAAGATAGTGACACCAGGTGAATTATCGTCTCTGCACCCGAACACACGATGCCGAACCTCTGGATTACTAACATGGTGTTCCCACTGGATGTCAGCAATCCTTCGGAGACAACGATGATCGAACACAGAGAGTCGTCTAACATCCTCAACTCGGAGAGGCCAGGTTTCACAATCATAGAGCAAAACTGCTCTCACCGACGCGTTGTAGATCCGACCTTTTACAGCCAGACTAACATCACGAAGTCGCCAAAGATGGCCCAGATTGGCATAAGCCGCTCTGGCTTTCACTATACGCGGATTGATCTCATCACTCGCGCCACCACCAGCACTTATATAGCAACCTAGATACACGAACTCCTCAACTACTTCAATCTGCTCACCATCTAGGGTGAGTACAGGATGAAAATCCTGTCAGTCTTGTAGGAGTACTTTGCACTTGGAGGGTGCAAAGCACATGCCGTACCTGCGGACACTGATTGCCAACTGATTAAGTGCGGATTGCATGGCCTTGGTATCATAGTACAGTAAGATAATATCATCCACATACTCAAGGTTGGGAAGTCTTTCTGCAAGTAACAGATCCACAACGTCATCACCTACATCCATCAGAGCTGTTTCCAGAACGTCATTGATAGCAAAGTTGAGGAGGAATGTTGAGATTGAACAACCCTATCTAACTCCACTGCTTGAATGGAACAATTGAGAGAGGTGTTTGTATTCCCTCACTCTGTCTGAGGTGTTTGTAGTATATAGGGCCTTCAAAATGTTAATAAACTACTCAGGCATACCCTTCTTTAACAGACAATCCCAGAGAACAGTCCTGTCCAACGAATCGAAGGCCGTCCTGATATCAAGAAACACTACGATCGTAGGCCTGCGATAAGTATGACGGTGTTCTAACATTTGGCGGAGGGTGAAGATGTGATCAATGCATCCTCGACCAGAACGAAAACCAGCCTGCTCCTCGCGAGTCAATTTTTCTCGGGTTTTAAACAATCTACGAAGCATGATGGAAACCAGTAGTTTGGACGCAATCGAAAGTGGTTTCATTCGTCGATAGTTTTCGCAGAAACGACACGGAAAGTCCACCTAGGGGAGTTGGAAAACCCTGACCCCAAAACAATGGTAACTCCGCCTGTAGCTCCTCTAGGGGCTCAATGGAGAGGGAACCACCATAGAGAGCAGCTGGAAAGGTATCAAGGAGGCAATCGTTTCAACATGTCAGGAGGTTCTGGGCCAAAAGAAGCACCATCACAAGGAATGGATCACTGTTGGTACACTGGATAAAATTGAAGCAAGGAGGAACAAGAAGGTAGCAATCAATATCAGCCGAACCAGAGCAGAAAAAGCCAAGGCACAAGCCGAATACACAGAGGCAAACAAGCAAGTGAAGAGGAGCATCAGGACCGACAAACGTAAATATGTGGAAGATTTAGCGATGACAGCGGAAAAGGCTGCAAGAGAGGGAAACATGAGACAACTGTATGATACAACAAAGAAACTTGCTGGAAATTACCGTCAACCAGAAAGACCAGTGAAAAACAAGGAAGGCAAAGTAATCAACGATATTGAAGAACAACGAAACAGGTGGGTAGAACACTTCAAAGAACTCTTGAATCGACCAGCTCCACTGAACCCACCCAACATCGAAGCAGCACCCACAGACCTCCCAATCGATATTGGCCCACCAACAATTGAAGAGATCAGCATGGCCATTAGACAAATCAAGAGTGGCAAAGCAGCGGGACCAGACAACATCCCGGCAGAGGCACTGAAAGCAAATGTAACAGCAACGGCCAAGATACTCCACATCCTCTTCGGTAAGATTTGGGACGAAGAACATGTACCAACAGACTGGAAAGAAGGACTTCTCATCAAGATACCAAAGAAAGGCGATCTGAGCAAGTGCGACAACTACAGAGGCATCACTCTCCTCTCAATACCAGGAAAAGTCTTCAACAGAGTATTGTTAAAAAGGATGAAGGATTCCGTGGACGCCCAACTTCGAGATCAACAAGCTGGATTTCGTAAGGATAGATCGTGCACAGATCAAATCGCAACTCTACGTATCATTGTGGAACAATCAATCGAATGGAATTCATCACTGTACATCAACTTCATCGACTACGAGAAGGCATTTGATAGCGTGGACAGGACGACACTGTGGAAGCTTCTTCGACACTACGGTGTGCCTGAGAAGATAGTAAATATCATACGGAACTCC